TTTCAAGATGTACATAAAACCATATGATTAAAAATTAAAATTTAGTACGTGAAGTATCAATTAATAGGGAAGTAGAAAATTAATTACACTTTTGATAAAATTATTACGATTTGACTGCACTCTGGAATCTTTTTTTAAGCAAACACAACAACTATATTAAACTGTCTACAAAGTTAATAAGTTAATGTCATGATTAATTAGTCGCATTAACCGTGATATGAGAAACACTCTATAGCTTATCATCCAGGTAGAACATCCGAGTGTCCACCAGTCACTCATGTGTAACGTTTAAAATATGGTTAAAATGCAATTAAAACATAAGGGGCAGAGTGATTTAAAAAAAAAATTGATAAAACTTGACTGAATCTTCAAAACTCGCATTCTTTTGTACCAAAAGACTAATATCTTAAAACGTTAGTATGAGAAAATTTGACCCTGCGGAAATAAAAACGTTGACAACACTATAAAATTGATTTTCTGAGACGAAGATGGAGGCATTATTCGATTGACATGATTCAGCGATTCATCTTTGTGTATAAAGCATGAATTTAATGTTTCAATTTAAAAAAAAAAAGAATACCTTCAATAGATATGACAGGTGTCACACATGTGCATTTGATATTGCCATTGAAAAATATTCAGAGGAAGATAGTTTGTCATAAAATTCACTGTTGGGCTAGTTTTAATTCTTTCTAAGCAACTGTTTCTTTAACATTACCCTACAGCAAAGAATGACCTCTTTAATTTTTGTCCCATTTATTAGTGAATTACTTGCAAAGATAATGTTCGAATGAAAAGATGTCGATAAACATGTTGAACATTAATCTATTTCTTGTGACAAGAACAATCCGACATTTTTTGTCCCCATTTTATAATAATTTTTCAATGTCAAGTCAGCGATATGAGACATATGAAAACAAGTCTGCTTTTACACTTATGCAAAAATGTATATAATTGGTTATACGATTGTACCAAAATCTGTGGGGAAAATATACTCTCGATATATGTTGATGTAGTTAAGATTCAATAGGCATGAATTACAAGAGATGAAGAGTAATATTGTAGTTAAAATGAAGAAATTAACTTTAATTTTTTAATAGTTAGAGCGTAAATATATCTAATTAAATGTATTTTAATTAAAACAAAATGTATGTGAGTATACATCCTGTTACGTTTCACCAAGTTGTATTTTTCAAGAAGCATTTACTCACTTTATAAAATATATCTTGTTGAAAAATTTCAGGTAATAGCTTCATGAAATCTCACAACTAAAAGGCATTTCTCAAGTGACATGCATTCCATATTTGATCTATTGAGCTCTGGTATCTAATTAATGAATCGGTTAATTTAGCATAAAAAGAACTTTATTTACATGTGTGTCATTGTCGTAGTTAAATAGGTGATTTGTATTTTTTAAATACATTTTTCTCCATAATATAAAATAATATATTGAATGCTCTTCATGATTTTGGATAAAATATTCAAATCATGTCAAATTCAAGACTTGAAATGCTTCGAAATTTGACTGAGAAGAGTGGTCTTCCATCAAAGACAATAACTGTCATCTATTAGCCTTAATAGTAATCCAAAACGGCCTTAAATGTCTGTTGATAGCATGCAAGTCTAAGCAGAAAAGCTATGTATTTCACATTAATTAGAATAAGTTAATTCGGTTTGAGTGACGGTTATTTAATGAAGACTTATACGTTTATTACGAAATGCCATATACCAGCTGTTATTCCGACAGTGACAAGGCAAGACCTTAGCATGATTTAAGTGATACACAACGCAATGTTCCGTGTATGCGTTTCACTGGCACTTATAGAATGCATTTGTTTTATTCTAATGATTTGAAACATATCATCTTAATGAAAATTCATTTTTTAAAAACATATCTGTTAATCATTTCCATAAAAAGACAAAATTTGAAAATATGGCCCTTTGTGTATAACTTTATGTTTTCATGAGTTCATTGTCTTGGTTTTTCATATATAAATGTCTTTGTTTTGTCAGATTTTACACTATTTATTGTTTTCTATATTACATGTTATTACTTGTTTACAAATATAGCGAGGGTTATTAAAACTATTCATCAATGTTGTGTGAACTTTCGACCTTTTCAAGACATCGGTGGGGAAGTGACTAAAGGGGCATACTTTCCTATTAAAAATTGATACAAGGATATTACGTAAATACCTTTTGAAAATAATCAAATAAAATGAATTTGATTATAAAATAAGCTTTGAAAATTCTTTAACTCTTTTTTTTTGTTGTCTCTTTTAATCTTATTCCTGTTTCTTTTTGTTTTGATTTTAAGGGGAAGAAGGACCTTGAGCTAAAAAAATACTTGTCATTCAATTTTTTTCATATTTTGTATATTTCTAAATAAGTATGTCCCACATATCTTAAAGCAGTTATATCATTAGGTTTCTTACCTAATTTTAGAGATATTGATTGACAAATACTATGCTCTACAGTATCAAAGTGGAGTTTTAATTCTCCATGTTTCCAGGCTCATTACTCCGTTCATAATAAGATTTTTAAGCATATATTAAAAATATGTAAGTGGACATGTTTCTTTTAAAATATACTAGAGTATGAATAGGATTTAAAATTCGAAAAAAGCAAGTTTCTTCTATCACACTGCATCTGGATAGGGAAAATTACGTGCTTTTTAAGACAACTTCAACAACAAAAGACGTAATTTACAAAAAAGTCTATCATTCAATATTTTTAAGTTTACGTTGAAATGCAAGTTCTTCAAAATATTGATTAACTGTAAAAATTTTGAATGGTGAAGCTGGCCTCAATATTGCACAGGACATCGTGAAAGAGGACATAAGCATGACAAAAACGTGTCATGTTTACATTTCTCGAGTACGGGAAAAACTAACTATGACGTCACACGTAAGCTAACAAAGCGAAAAAAGATATACCTACATAAGATTTCCGTCATCAGCCATGCAAAAATAATTTTTGTGTTCCCCGTTTCTCAAAATATTTCATCATATACTGATTATGACCTGTTCTTACAAAATAATACCGCCCCTTTATTCACCGAGTATGATCTTGTTGTACTAACAGATCGTGTATGACGTCACCGACTTGCTGGACGCGCAGTTTGAGGAAACAGAGGAGTGGATCAATCTTTTTCATAATTTGTTATTGTTTACAAGAATGTTAAAACTTTTTTATTTTTTTGTATAAGATGGTAATTAAAGATAAAAAATTGTCAAAAATTTATACAAGAACTGATGCTTTACACGTTTTGCACATCTATAAACGGAGACTATGACGTAGTTAAACAGAGTCATGTGACCATGTGTCCTTCATCCCCTTAAATATATAACTTTTCAATTTGCTTTTCAAATTTACAGTACCATTTATATATAAATTGAGTCATAATAACACATTTGTGAATAACAATCAAATTTGTGTATTTTTCAGCAAAAGAAGGAGATCCGATAACAACTACCTTAACAACAACTACAGGTATGAGAAGCAGGTTTGGCAAAAAACTGGGAAATACTCATATTTCCCACAAGAGTGGGAAATACTGGTAATTACCGGGAATTACTGGTATTTACCAGGAAATACTGGGAATTAAGAAATAGCTACATACTTCATTCATATTGACATGTAGTACACCTTTTTGGCTAAGATATCTACCTGGTATCACTGTTCCTGATTTAAAAAATTCTGGTTTCCAAGTAATTCATTTTATACAATCATAACACAGCATAGTCATATACCAGTAATTACTACCTATATTGAAATCTACTTCAGGTATGATAATTAGCATGTTTTAGCTAATCGACTACAGGCGTGATAATTATTACCTACACAGTGATATATAAAAATCACTGAAGACAGATAATTACCACCTTTAATTAAATCTACTACAGGTAGGATAAGTAGCATTTATTGCCATTACTTAAACGACTTCAGCTTAGATAATTATTGCCTATCATTAAATTTACCACAGGTAAGATGATAATTATGTATGATGAAAGTATGACTCGAAAAAAGATAATTTGCAATGGTAATGAAAACGAATAAAGCTATGTCAATATTACCTATTATTAATATCCTCCACCTTCCTACTGGGTAGAAAAGAGCAAAGGCAGCAAACAAAAAACTGGTTTGGCGTAAAGCTTGATATCCTCTCAAAAAAGCTGAAATGACAACAGTCATATTAGGTGGGGGTAGGGGGGGGGGCTGGGATTTTTCCTTATTGTATGCATATCTACAAAATGCGATAAAAATTTGTTTTGTTTTTTAAATTTTTTTAATTGTGCCTCGATATCTTTGAAAATAATCTTAACTTTTACATCCATTTCACATAGCGACTTCAAAGTTTCTGATTTTGTTGTTGCATTCATTTACTGTAGACCAATCCATCGAAGTTCTTGAAACACTGCAATATAGTAGATTCGAATTACGTTGTAAAATACCAACGCTGGAAAATGGTGTCGACATCTCATGGACCAAAGATGGACTTCCTCTTGTTTCCGTTGATAACAACAGATATTATTTTTTGGAAGACAATACCCTGGTTGTATTTACGTCCATACTACAAGAAGATAGTGGAGTTTACGTTTGTGAGGCTAATGATCCATTTATGACGACATATAGTGCAAGAATAGTCGTAAATGACAGCGGTATGCTATAACGTTTAATGTAAATTCCGTTTATTAAAGTTGAAGATTTCCAAATCTATTGTATCTGTATACCATTTTTTTCTTACAAGTGGTTGTTATCAAATTGCCTTTTGCGCTCTGATTTAATATACAGTTATTATCACCAATTAAATTATTGATAGATCATTTTCATATAATTTGATAAGAATTCAACAAATTACTATAAAAAATGAGGAAGGAAAATAAATCTAATTCTTAATCAACTTTTGCCAGGGTTGAGATGTACTGAAGACACCTGCAATGGGAATGGAACTTGTGTTTATAATAATAATTCGTATATCTGTAACTGTTTTCCGGGATATGAGGGGAAACACTGTGAAAAAGGTCAGGAAATTAATTCATGTGTTTGCTGATTAAACGTATGATAAAGGATTAAAACAAAATCAGTTCAAGAGACTGCATATACAGATCTATATTACATCTTGAATAAAGGAAAATGCTAGAAAAATATTACTTTTTAATAATACTTCTTTTAAAATGCAAATATTAAATCTAAAATTTTGTTTCTATTTTATTTTTTGCTTGTGCTAAATGAATTTTTCACATCTTAAGATAAGGATGAATGCCAAACACCCGATATCTGTAAACACGGGTCTTGTATCAATACTGTGGGTTCTTACTACTGTGATTGTCTGACGTCCCCGGGATGGACAGGACCTGCGTGTGAACAAGGTAGATTTATTGTAATGTAATAAATCGCTAAAATGATGGATCTTTTAATGTAATATTTTTTTATTGCAATGTGTCTTAAATGACATTTTTTTATTGCTACAATCTACTTCGAGATTGTAGCAATGAAATGATGTTATGAATATGGGTTTATGCTAACTGACATCATAAAAACTGTAAGTAATGAAGGTAATATTATTCCAATGAAATTTCATCAACGTTGTAAGGTATTGTTATGAGAAGAAAACACTTGGCCTTGAACTCGACATTTAGATATATCGACGATGTATTATCAATTAACAATAGTTAATTTCATTCATTTGTCGATTCGATATATCCCAGTCAACTTGAAATAGAAAAACACCACAGTGTCTGCCAGATCTGTTTCATAGTTGGATGCTTTACTGATTGTAGACGATAAGGGCAAATTAACAACTAAATTGTAACTTCAACTTCAATTGATGACTTCAACTTTTCCATCGTCAACTTTCCTTTTTTATGTAGTGAAACTGTAATATCTTTCTATCACCTGCATATGATGTTTACATCTCCCAACTTATTCGATATTCAAGAACATGCTCCGAGTACGATCAATTTTTAAATCGAGACAGGCTACTGACAGATACTTTGATATTACAGGGATTTTAACAACCTCGTTTAAAGCCAGCAGCTTAAATTTTATGATTTAATGCTTTTGTTAACAAATATAACCTATCATTGGATCACATTTTGGCTGACATTTGTTTTGCAATGAATTTGACTACGGAATTTCCGTCTACCTGATCAATACATAGGGCTCATGGCGGGCGTGACCAGTCACAAGGGGATGGATGCTTACTCCTCCCAGTAACCTGATCCCACCTCTGGAATTTACAGAGTTCCGTGTTTTATGTCCTCTTCATAGAACTGTATTGTTTATAGATATTTTGAGATCGATCACTGTTCGTTATCTATTGAACTTCCAACAATCTATTGGAATTCCCATGGGTACTAATTGCGCCCCGTTATTAGCAGACCTTTTATTGTATTCACATGAAGCAGAATTTGTCCAAAATCTAGTACGTGAAAAGAAGAAAACATTTGCCTTCAACTCGACATTTAGATATATCGACGACGTATTGTCAATTAACAATGGCTATTTCCATTCTTATGTCGATACGATATATCCCGGTGAGCTTGAGATAAAAGATACCACAGAATCTGACACATCTTTTTCATACTTGGATATTTTACTTGAAAAAGACATTAATGGTAATCTAAAACCAAGCTTTATGATAAACGTGATTACTTTAACTTTTCAATCGTCAACTTCCCTTACTTATGCAGCAATATACCTTCATCACCTGCATACGGGGTATATATATCTCTCAGTTGATTCGATACGCAAGAGCATGCTCTACGTATGTACAATTTCTAAAACGAGGTAAATTATTGACAAACAAGTTGATTAAACAAGAATATCAGCTGTCTCGTTTAAAATCATCATTTCGTAAGTTCTATTGTCGATACAATGACCTTGTTTGCAAATACAATTTATCATTGAGTCAAATGCTGACTGACGTTTTTCATACTAATTGTTAGGCCATTATTTACACACTGAATTGTCGACGGATTTTTCCGTTATTTCCCGATCACGACAAGGAGCACACGGCGGGTGTGATTGGTCGGCAGGGGATGCTCACTCCTCCATGGCACCTGATCTCACCTCTGATGTTTGGAGGTCCGTGTTTGCTCTGCTCCTATTTTGTATTGTTTAATGGACTTCTGAGCTTGAATACTGTTCTTCATCTCCATGTATTTCACTTCACCTTTTTCACTGTAATATACAATGTAATGTCTGATCGTGGGATATAGGTAATTGAGTGCACAACAAAATAAGGATTGGTCCCCTTCATTATAATTCCTTTTTCTTAATTTCTAACTGCCTGATTTTAACTTTACCTGCCTGCTATATAAGACTTTAATTTGAAACCTGCTTAGAGGAATAAAGACGTGTCTTTATCTAATACAGATATAGACGAATGTAAAAGCAATGGAACGAATGTATGCCCCAGAAATTCCGTCTGTGTAAACAGCGTTGGAAGTTATGACTGTAGGTGTAAGCAAGGCTGGAGAGGACCATCATGTGAAATTGGTAAATGTGCCATTATCCATTTCTGAAATAGTTTGCGTTGCTTTCATTATAGTGATTTTTGGTTGTTCTTGTTATCGGTTATGAAGGATATTGCGTTGCTGCATTTAAATATTATTTCATAGAGTTATTTTTATTTTCTTAACATAATAATCTAAATCTGAATTGATAGAAATATTGGTAGGAGACAGTTAAATTAACAAATAATAAATTTAACTTTTTTTGTTTCAGATCCCTTACATACACTTTTGTAGTCCTTTACGATGAGGACATATTTCGTTTTAGACATGTTTAAAACATAGTTCGAGGAAATATGAAGTGAAAAAAAAATAATATAGTTCAAAATTATTTTTTTTTGAACAGAAGAAAAAAAGATCATCCTAATTATTGTTACTTTATATAAAGCCATTGTTGTTGAAGAAACATATTCATGCATATGAAAACGAATCTTTCATTTTAAATTTTGGCACGCCCAATTGAGAATATTTTTGTCACATCCATGAACTGAAATCAACTGTATTCATTAAAAACTTTTTTTTTTAAATCTTCATTACAAAAAACTTTATTAACAGATATAGACGAATGTAACAACATGCCCTGTAGTAAGAAAAAAGTGTGTGAAAATAGACCCGGAACTTATCTGTGTACGTGCAAGAAAGGCTGGAAAGGGTTTAACTGTACAGTAGGCAAGTATTCTATTAAGAGAGACATACATTCTTAAACAATGCTTATGCCAAAAAACCCCAAAATTTATCAATTATTTGTTGACAACTAATTTTGCAGTGTAAATTAGTTTGTACTTCTGAATAAAATAAAGGTTAAAATTCTTTTTAAAAACTCAAAATCCATTCACAGCTTGTATTCAAGAACTACAAAAAGTTGCATATTGACAATTAGCAATGATAAAAAGTATCTGTCCTTGAAAAAGTGACTGATAATTTCCTTTTCATTACATTGCTTATTATCATATTGTAAATTTGATACATTGTCCAGTTTGGAGAAAGATTTTTCCAGTTTATGTTTATTCATTTTTACAATTGACATGTTATTTTTTATATACTGCCTAATTTTGTTTAACAGATATTGATGAGTGCCAGGTAAACAGATCAATATGTGGTCAAAATGGAGTTTGTATCAATGACAAAGGTAGTTACTCTTGTAAATGTAAGACTGGTTGGACGGGGTCCGACTGTAACACAGGTAAGATAATAAATTTTTGAGGTCATGTTTTCCACTCAAAAACTGGAACAAAGCTGTTTAATTGCCTTAATAACTGTCTCATATGTGCATCTCATCTCAATTTTACTTGCACATTATGCCTTAAAATTCATTTTTAAATATTACCTTGAATAAATTACAGAATCTTAAATTAATAATTTCAAAATCAACTATTTCCTTTAATATCATTAAGATAAGAATGAGTGCAACCATAAATATAACATTGAATAAATAACAGTATATTGTATTTAAATCAGCTTTTTTTTTAAAATATCATTTAGATATAAATGAGTGTTTAAACATCACGTCATCATGTTCGGGAAATGGTCGCTGTCTGAACACTCAAGGCAGTTTTAAATGTTTGTGCAATTCTGGATGGGAGGGACCCAGGTGCTCTGTGAAAGGTAGATTCCTAAAGAACAAATTATATTTGATTGATAAGTTTTAAAAGATATTGTTATATATATATATATATATATATATATATATATATATATATATATATATATATATATATATATATATATATATATATATATATATATATATATATATATATATATATAAAGCTATTGGATATAATATAACTCTCATAAGCAAACAACATATGTCAGGAAGTTTTAAAGACAATTTTTTGATCACACATAAATAAACTTTATTTTTTATAAACACAACTGCATGTGATATACCTTGCGGATTATATTGTTTCAGTGCAACGCTCTTGCATTCAAATACCTTGTAAAAATAATGGATCTTGTATTCGAAACGCCACAACTGAGAAGTACCAATGCATTTGTTCCGGAGGATTCGAAGGTGCCTTCTGCGATAAAGGTACGTTGTGTTTATGTTTGTATTTTACCAATCAATGCATTTAATCAAATAATATAATCTTGTAATAAAAAAAATCGAAATATCCCACAAAATTGTAAAAATATTATATTAGTTCACTTCTTCAAAACAATTCTCTTTAATCTCTTCATTGATTTTAAGTGCAAATTCATATGCCATGTTTTAATCGAATGAGATAAATTTTCTCAGAGCAAAGATTTGAAAATTGTTGCTAGAGTTTTGAAAATTATCCCAAGTTGCATCCTGATAGCCAAAGCGGGGACTCGATCAGCTGGATTTAGGTCATATTTTCCACTCAAAAACTTCAAAATGCTGATTGCATGCTCATGTTGATGCATGATTGCTTAATATTCATTTTTTAAAATTATTGAATACATGACAGTATCTTTAATTTATAGTTTTCAAATCAATAAAAATCTTTAATATAATTAAGATACGAAACTTTTGCATTCACAAATATAACTCTGAATAGATAAAGGTACACTGTATGCTTAATTTAAATCGGATTTTCTTTTAATATCATTTAGATGTTAATGAGTGTTTGAACATCACATCATCATGTTCGGGGAATGGCCGCTGTCTCAACACTCAAGGCAGTTTTAAATGTTTGTGTAATTCTGGATGGGAGGGACCCAAGTGCTCTGTGAAAGGTAGATTCCTACAGAATGTAATTATATTTTATTAAAATTTATTTAACAAAAAATGCTTCTATCAGATATAATATTACTATATTAAGCATATTAAACTATATTAGGGTTTGTCCGTAGTCTTAAAAAGTTTTTAAAATCATCACACATAACTAAATTTTATTTTATATTAACACAGTCATATGTGATATATCATGATGGTTATATTGTTTCAGTTCAACCCTCCTGCATTCAGATACCTTGTAAAAACAATGGATCTTGTATACGAAACACCACAACTGGGAAGTACCAATGTATTTGTTCCGAAGGATTCGAAGGTGCCTTCTGCGATAAAGGTATACTTTGTTTATGTTTGTATTTTACCAATCAATGAATGTAAGCAAATATTATAATCTTGTCTTGAAAAAATCGAAATATCACGCAAACATATAAAAATATTATACTAGTACAGTACCTCAAATCAATTCTCCTTAATATCTTCATTTTTTTAAGTGCAAATTCAAAAAGAGGAAATGTGGTTTTTTTATCGAATGAGATAAATTTTCTCAAAGCAAAGATTTTAAAAAAATTGTTACTAAAGTTTTGAAAATTGTCCAAAGTTACATACTGATAGCAAAAGCGTGAACTCGATCAGTTAGATGTAGGTCATATTTTCCACTTAAATCCTAGATAAATGCTATTCAATTGCTTTTATGGCTGTCTTCTGCAATTGCACATGATTGCTTATAATTCATTCTTAAATATTACCTTGAATAGTTTACAGTATCTTTAAATAATAATTTTCAAATCAACTATTTCCTTTATTACCATTAAGATACGAAACGTGTACATTAAAAATATAACACTGAATAGGTAAAGGTATGCTTAATTTAAATCAGCTTTTCTTTTAATATCATTTAGATATTAATGAGTGTTTAAACATCACATCATCATGTTCGAGGAATGGTCGTTGCCTAAACACTCAAGGCAGTTTTAAATGTTTGTGCAATTCTGGATGGGAGGGACCCAGGTGCTCTGTGAGAGGTAGATTCCTACAGAATATATTATATTTTATTAAAATTATTTAACACAAAATACTACTATCTGTTATAATACTACTATATTAAGCAAACAAGGTTTGTCAGAAGTCTTACAAAGTTAACATTATTTAAATGATCACGCATAACTAAATTTTATTTTATATAAACACAGTCATATGTGATATACCTTGGCAGTCATATTGTTTCAGTACCACTCTCCTGCATTCAGATACCTTGTAAAAACAATGGATCTTGTATACGAAACACCACAACTGGGAAGTACCAATGCATTTGTTCCGAAGGATTCGAAGGTGCCTTCTGTGATAAAGGTACACTTTGTTTATGTTTCTATTTTACCAATTCTTGACTTTTATCATATATATCAGAATCTTGTAATGAAAATCTCGAAATATCAACTTAATCTGCTCCAGATTCGTATTGTTTTAATTGACTTTGAGCTTGAATACAGTTTTTTCTCTATATTTCATACATGTAATACTATATCACCATCCATTGGAATTTTTTTAATCTCTACATTATTTAAAGTTCATAGGAAAACTGCTTTTTTTAAAATTACTGTATCCTTGATTTAGTGTATAAGAAGCAGTATGCATTAAAGGCCAGGCTATTTTTTTACGGTTCATATTTCTGTATCTTAGATGCAGATGATTGTCAATCATTTTTTGGAGAGGGCTTATATAGGCTATGCCTGCTGCCCAATCCAGTTATGTATTTATTAAATAATAAAATATGTTCAAAACAAAAATCATTTTTCCTTGACATTTTCAGATATCAATGAATGTTCGACTAAATGGAGGCCCTGTTCTGGGAGAGGGTCATGTGTCAACTCATTTGGATCTTACTTTTGCGATTGTTATGGAGATTGGGAAGGGCTCAGATGCGAGAAAAGTAAACAAATTATTACTTTTTTAATATAATCGGGGGGAAATTTACGTACTATAGTCTGATTACGCATATCAACGGTAATATTGATAAATATTACTGTAATTCGTTTACGGTCAAGTTCACAGGATTTTATTCACTAATATCAATTCCAAACCTCAAAATCAAATTTGAAAGAGAATTTAAAAAAATATTTTGATATACCTTTGGAACATATTTGCGAGTTGAAATTCCTCTGTTGGACATGAAGACCTGTTTTTGGATGAGACCGTTTAAACCTAGGCCCAGTGTCACAGTAGATGCTAGCATCACTTCTCAATGGCCATTTGTGCTGCCAACAAGTCTTAATCTGTAATATTCCTCTGGCAATCAATTGCGTCGAAACATAAAAGAAATATTCTCGAAGGAAAGTAAAGCAAGCAAACAAAAATACATTTTAACAATTCTAATTTATAAGACTGATCATCAAGAGTCGAACCGATCAAAACTGATCAATGAAATTTATGGATGGATTGACAAATATCTGTAGCAAGAGCTCTGCTTCCTACATGTACTTCAGCCAGACTATTATTCAGCCTACATATAAAGTATTTATAAATAAACCTATATCTGAACAAAAATCTATTCTCTTAAACGCACCTTTGTAAGTAAATGTATATGTCATTTTCCTTTTGCCCATCTTCTAAAGCATAGATTGAAACATTTTTGTTCAATATATTCTTATCCATTTTCTAGGAATTGATCCTTGTTTGTCCAATCCTTGTCCAAAGAATTCAGTGTGTGAAACAAAAGACAGTTCTTATCAATGCACCTGCATAATTGGATGGGAGGGGCCAAACTGTGATCAAGGTTATTTTGAAATTCATCAAATACTTTTTTTAATATTCATACTTGAGCTTTTTATCAACGTCAAAAACTTCATTTAATGCGAAATCTTTACATTTTAGAGGTGAAGAGAGCGACAGGTAGTATGATATTATTATATTTCAAAATTCTAATTTAAGACAGAAGAAAATAATTTTCAAGTAAACAATAATATTAATACGCTTCTCTCTATTAACGAATCATTCAATGACACGTGCATTACAGTGAAATGAAGTTTTCATTTCTAAATATAAAGGTCCATGTGCAGACATGTGCAAAGGTGAGGAGTCCTGCTATTTAGAACACGACTGTACCCATTATAAGCACTGCTATGCTAGGAATTTTGCTTGTCACTGTACATTGATGAAGTGTGCATTTGGAACGTTTTGGAGTTCTTCCCTCAACACATGCGACAAAGTATCTAACGTACTTTGTAAAGCGGGTATGTTAGTTTTGTTCTAAATAGCGTGAAACATCTGAATGCATGAGATATTGAGCTGATTTGTCCTATTCTCTACTATAAAAATGCTCTTTTAGACAATGATTAACAATTGCCACCATTTTGTCATTCCGCAGTAAAACTGAACATCGAGTTTGTTGTGTTTGCAGATATATAGTTGAAAATTATTATGTATATTTGTATGGAGTTGACAGAGATATGTTGTATTGTTAAGGAAGGCTACTTTTTCTAAATGAAATAAAAAATATCACCTGAAGTTTAAAGGAAATGTATAATTAAAGAAAGAAATACCACATTTTTTAAAGGAGAGGCATGCATTTGAATTTTTATATTTTTGTGTCTTATGGCGTATCGAGATACTGGAAGTTTTCTCTTTGTTTTCGAAAGGGAAGTGAATCTTGCTAAGACGACTTGATATCTCTTACCTATGCAGAATGAGTTGCCCTGTGGGATGAAATTACAAAAACATACGAACAGTCAATTTGTATATCATTTCCATTCAATTCAGTATTATCTCGAACGGTTAACAATATGGATTTCCACCTAATCTAATTAAAAAAACGTCTTTTTAGATCCATGCCTTAGCCTCCCTGTTGATTCAACTTATCCTAGCGAATTTAATTGCCGTACATTCTACGTATGCAACAGAAACATGCAGTCAATAGCAATGTGCTGTGATTGGGGGTATGCATATGACCCAGAAGTTAAGAACTGTACGAGAAGCAGATACTGCAACTTAGAATGTTCTACCCAGAATGTTTCAGCAACAACAGTAGAGACAACACCCTCATGGGTTACTTCAGAAAGCAAAGGATGTAAGCATTTTCAGTACAAATATACTATACATCTTTTAATAGATGATATTTTGCTTTCAAAGTTCACTTCGTTCTATATACATGTATGTATGGTGGTATATGTTGCATCATTTATTTTCCAGTTTGTGAACTTCTCCCTGTCAGAGGAGATCCCAGTAAATTTATCCACAGTGGGATAATACGAGATTGTGCAAAGGGCACGATTTTCCAATCTTCTATCTGTGGTTGTGGAAGTGACAAGGATTTTATACAATCACGTATGATTTATTTATCATTTAAATTCTAGAAAAAGATTTTTTTCTGATTCTAAATATATGTACGCTAATATTATCATAAAATGTTGACTTGATATATGGAAATGTATATTTGCTTCGAAGAGATCACTATTAGATTATATGTAAAATATATTTCTCTTTCTCCCCAAAAAAAATGATATGAATAGAAATAGATAAAGGACAACAACTCTGTACTAAGCAGGTGCCCGTTCTACAAAAGAACTTACGACTAAGACCAAAAACTTGAGTTGATTGTAAAATCTTGCAAAATAAATGATTCTGGTAAATTTTGCATGTATAAATAAATCTATCTGAATTGTTTTTGTTTTTTTTTTTTAAATAAAACCATTTTCAATTTAATGTAAAATAGAAAGATATTCCCAAAATTACATTTTGGTCTTAGTCGTAAATTCGGCTGTAAAACGGACCCAGATGTGCATTTAACAAAATGTCATAAATTCATATTCTTTTCAGGGTGTTCATCGTTAGTTTATTTGGATTTTCAAGGGGATAAAATACAAGATGTTTATCATCAAAGCTACGTCGAAGTAAAAAATGTTATGCGCATGAATTTTAGTGAACCAAAGGACGTTTATGCATTTTTCAACGGAAGATCATCAAGTATACGAATTCCTCGTTTCAGTGCAGTTGCACTTCGCCTTCTTACAATACAAATCAGATTTTATGCTCTGCCATCTGGACCAAGATATCAGGTTTTGGTATCTAATTGCCGTTCTTCAGCGAAACCTACAGGGATTATAGAACTCCAAAACCAGACTCCTTCCGTAGCGATCGTGGCTGACACCAAGGATGAACATCTTACACTACTGGGGTATAGCGAGGATTGGAGAGTTAGGCCTGCCATACTAACGCTATCTTATAAGGTGTTGCTAAATCATACATTGCTTAAGTAAAGAAATATTCTGTGAAATCATTTTTTTTTGGGGGGGGTAATTTTCGTGTTTTTTTTTTTTAAATCTTGGTTTAAAGACACCTAAGAAATTTTGTCCTCCACGAAATGTAAATTTTCAAACTCATAACAACTCAACACTTCTTCAACTTCAAAATCAAATCCCCATGATTCTCTATTTTTTTCTCTAACCACAAAAGATTGACACCATGAAAATATGAGATTTTGCAGTATAGAAATATAACCCTAGTCGAAAATCACAAATAAATAATTAACTGAATAGATAAATAAATAATAGAAAAATATGAGTTTACATGTAATTTGTACGAAATTTAAGAATTTAAAAAATAAAGTTATGACATTCTAATTAAAGTTCTTTATTTAGTTTATTCTCACTAAACTGTTTTCTATACGCATGTTTCTTCTAAGTTTTTCATGTATGATACTGGTTTCGAAAATTTGAGAAGTTTTGATTTTGCATGTTTATCAGGTCCAAGCTTGGATGAATGTAGAATTATTATATGACGGCAGAAGTCTGGCAGGGCGAGTGACGTCATTTAATTCAGATGGTTCAATTTCGTTTGAAAGTCGAGACGAAACTGTTTTATCAGGTGACTAATCTAAATATATTTTAATTTGGTCAAATGTCATAAAAATAGCTATAAAATTTGGCCATTGACATGATTTCAATTGTAGATGAAAATGTTTCAGAGGGATTTATTTGCCAACTTATCTAAAAACAGAGCCATATATATTGTCCTTAATTGGTTCGGAAAAAGTGAATATCGTAAAATACCACTTTTAAATGCTTAGAGATAGAAAATGTGCCTTTTTAGAAGATGTAATCAATTATTTCTGTTGTCATTCAAAACAGGAAGCATTGTAGCTCCAGATGGTCCACTTGGCATAGGAATGTGCAAGGAAAATCAAGATGCTTTCTATGGATATATGGACATGGTAGGTACAAATAAATTGTATTGTGCAATTATGGTCGAATGCTGTTTTAGTTTCAATCAGTTTATATCATTGGTCAACGTTGCCTAGTCAACAAAGACATTTGATGTGTTACTTTTCATTCCTTTTCAATGACAACTGCAACCTAAGGCTTTCGGTTTTGTTTAACACACATTTTTTCATATTTTTTTTGATGAACAACAAAAGAGCTAGTTTGGAATACATGTATTTGCATATTTTGAATCCTTCCATTTATTTCCTAATAGGTTCAAGTATTTGACTGCAATCCATGATCTCAACTTGAAGAATTCCAAAACGTCCACTGATTATTTATCTGTGTTTTACTTGTTATTGTTCTATTTGTAATGTATTTGAGTAACAATTAATTTTCATCCAAAATCTTCAATATTTCCATTAATAATACATGTATAACATGTATGATATTTGTAAATATTTTTACTATGTATTTCTATGAATAATCCAAATATTATTTATTTTTAGTCGAAGCTTACCTGAGGTAAATGTTCAGTGAGCTTTTATGACTGAAGACTGCCCGTCGTCTGTTTTTCATGTGTAATCTATAAATTTAATACATTTTAAGTGTCTATCAACTTTTTAAAATCACTTGGTCAGTTTGCTTCAAAGCATCCTTTGAGAATCATTTACATTTTTATCAAATGCAGAGTTACTCTCTTTCCCGATATAAAAAGGAAAATCGAAGCCTCGATCAGGGGTTAAGATGGAGCAGCAATCAAGATCTAAAGCTCCCCTGGAATATATCTAAGAAAATCTGTTTTGTATAGCTGAACCATAATGAGGCATTGCATTGCTCCTTGGACAAAGCTTGGATTGATAAAGAAGGTCAAATTCGTACGTGGGAACACACAGAAAAAGTTCTTTCAAAAATATCTTACGAAAAACAAAGTAAACTTTATCATATTAATATACAAACATCTCTATTTAATTCAGAGTCAGTTTTATTTGATGCAAGGCCTGATGAACTAAATTCGAGTCCATGTAGGGAACAGAAATTCATACATAAATATCAAGACATCCACAAGAATGAAAAAGCTTACAAAAGCTGTAAAGTTGACATCAGCCATTGCACTATAAATCAAAATTTTCCAAACCATAAATTTGAATGTAGAGAAAACAATAAAGGATTAATTTTAAACATGTATTCATTCTTGGTCATACAGGGGATATTGACTAGGGTGAGCATTGTTAACTTTATTTTGCTATTTATATTTCTTATTTATGTTGCACTAGTAAAGGTTAAATAGAAATAAAATTATTTGACATTTAAGTCTTTATTCCATATATATATTTAAGGGTGAATGAGAACTATGAAATGTGTTGATAAATAAAACTTTTCTAAGAAAAAATAACGATTTAAATTCTGAGTAAAAATGCTGCATTATCGATATCAGTATCAATTAGTAAAGGAATGATGCCTTACTGTTTCCAGTATTTTAGCAATTACTGTCTTTAAGTATTCTAAAAAACTTTAATTTGGTCAAAAAATGTATATCAGGACATAATATTTTGGGTACAAACATTACAAAACTATTCGAAACTGTAGTTTTCAATAAAAAAAAAACAACTTTGTTTTAGATATGTGAATTTTTTATGAGACTAACGAAATGTATTAAAATTACCTACAATCTCTCATAAATCGGTTACAGTGGATATTACTTTCCTCTTTAAAATATTATCAAACTTATAATTGGTATCTGGCTTACTTTTCACATGATTTAAAATTGAATGCCACGAAAATGCATCATGTGTTTATGGCCGTAAAGTTAAAAGCAAGTTGAAATCATTTTATTACGTCATGAACTTATATTTAAGATCAAAATGACAGCCTTGTCTCATTAATTATATTTTACCATAAGTAATTCGATAATTGCAAATAAAAATAAAAGATTGTTCCTATTCTGCCTGTATCTTGCAGATAGTATAACCACACAATATTTCGGTGCATAGATTTATTGTGTAAATGCGGTAAAGAACTGAAACAAAACAAAAAATAGAATTACTTATCAATAACATGATAAATAGTATCAATATATAACTATAGATATAGCATAAACTTTGTAATAAGTTGTAAATGAAAATATTCAAGAGGTAAATAAAAATAAAGATTCACTATTAAATCCAGAATATAAAGTTTTGACACAAGTGGGTTTCCATAGAAAAATGTTATGAACGTACTCCAGTTTTATGTTTAAGGATTATGACAATAATAGGGTTCCATACTTTAGAGTGATAACAATAGATATTCCTAATATATTCAAATTACAGACATTTCATTCAAAAACAGTATAAATATAATAAATATATGCGTAATAAATATAAACAGCATAAGTAACTTACAGTGTGTGGCAGCATAGGTCAGAAATTTGACATAATGGGATGAGACTCCTAGTGTGGGCCACACAAAGGAAAACAACACAGGAAGAGAGGAATTAAGGAAAAGTACATCTTGATTTACAAATAAAAAGATAACTCTAGAAATTATAGGACAGATAACTATTTGATAAGAAAGATCTCTAACTGTGAAATAGATAAATAATTTAGGAAAATAAATATAGAAATATAAATAGAATGTTCATAAACATTATAGTTCCTCTTAAAGGAAAAAAGTCGAGATATCACTTGGAATCTTTATTTCTGACGCTGAGAAGAATACATACATGTAGCAACAAAACCGTACATTGATATATGTATAACGTTACAGTAAATCCAATAGCTGTGTATCTCTCTTTTTCTGTATATTTTATCAATATGTTTCTTCCCTGCTATGTATATAAATAACATTACAATCTGTATAATATGCCTAATCTTTAGAGTACTTGTAAGAAGATTCAGTGCATCAAGCTAGTGTTTCAGGAGTTTTTTTAATCTAAAAAAATACATTTTTGTTAAAAAATAGTACCGATTAGAAATCAGAATAATATAAAGCTCTGAGTATCTTAAGCTGTTTTTTTAATATAGAGAATGATCAATTTCAGTATTTTTGTTATATTAACGTCGGATCGATCAATAAGCTAACGTATAAATAACTTATGCTAAGATATCAATGATAATTAAAATGAAATTCTGTTAAACTGTAAATGAATAAATAAATGCAATGTAATAGAATATGCGTTACATATAACTGATAAGAATATCATGAGAATTTTTACATGCCTATAAGTATAATACATATACATACAGTTTGACTATATGCATATGACTGACTTCTAACATAGTTTGTCACCGGAATATGACTAAAAATTCTATATTATCTCCAAATACAATAATATAGATATTGACCACTGTAACTGATTGAAGATTTATAATAATAGTTAAAAATTATTATAATAAAAATTAATAAACGTTTGCGAACATGGTCAAACACTAAAAATACATAAGGAATGTAACATTTAAACAGAAGTGTAGCAAAATTATGGCAAGTATTCGTCTTATCCCAATTTCACCATATTTCCACAGATTTTTTTTAACCAAACCCTAAAAAGTCATTTTGAATGCAGTGGCTCTCTGATCTTGACCCATGATCACTCTCTGACATTGTTAAATTCTCTCACAATCTTGCAGATCTAACAAAATCAGAGTTGTGCCGTCACTGGTGTGTCTGTTAGTAACAGTCTGTCTAGGTGGTCCAAACATTCCTGAATGACCTGAGCAAATTTTTCTGAGTTGGCGATGTTACTAGTTCTCCATGTTGTTACAGCCATCTCAATGCTATGAACAATAGAAAAGGAAATGATCTACATGGTTATTCTTAATGTACTTTCACTATTTATCTTCGAGTTTAAATTAACAGAGGTAAGTAAAGTTCTGACGAGAGCTGATTTTCCAAACGTTTTACACACCCACAAGACGAAATACTTCCTTTCATTCCTTGCGTAAAGATAGCATAAAGAACAATTAAAAATATTTTTTAAGACGTTGTAAGCACCTAAAATCATCTTTCAGCTACTATTTTTATGTCCCCGACTCAGAAAGTGGTCTTAAAGATACCTTTCTGATGGACGTCAGACAATTAAAATAGCTTTTAATCGGTCTGTCATTTATCAAAGGGTCATCATGAAGCCCACCTAATAGGTGCTTTATGAACCGATAAGATTGATTGATTGTATGTTGTTTTACGTCCCAATCGAGAATTTTTTCACTCATAAAGAGACGTCAACATAACCAATGAAGAGCTTCAAATTTAGACCTATATTCGACACTCCGGGTCATTGAGCAGTGAGAGTTCTTTATCGTGCCAACGCCTACCGTAACACGGAACCTCTGTTATTAAGGTGAAAAAGGTGAAGATAAATAACAATGATCCATCTCAAAAAATCTACACACAATACAAATCTATAAACAGGGCACAGACCTCCGGAAATTTTCATCCGAAAGATACCTGACTTTCACTTTTAAAGCCGGACGCTTTGCCAAGGAATAGTCGCTTTCTATGTTTACGTCTTAAGTTTGACGCGGCGCGACGAAAAACAATCGAACCCGTACCTCCCAATAGCGAAGTCAACTGATAAGAATGATTTGTTAAGTTTTAATGTTCAAGTAATATAAGACGCGTCAGCGGAGGTTGACAATGGTTTTCCGAGGGGTGTCAATTTCAACTGTTACCCTCAAAAACGTGCACTATTCATTTTATTATACTGAATGTCTTATTGATTTCGGATGTCATAAAAAAAATTCGGAGATCGTCGATAAGTTCACGCTTTCAAACTCCCCGCTTCTATTTTTCTCAATAAGAAAGCTTCGGAAAAGATTTACCAACCTCTTATTTGTTTGTTTGCCACTCAAAAAGTCCTTTATCATCTAAAGTTTGCACTCGCAAGGATGTTTCGTCTGTCGTTTGTTGTTTTCAAGTAAGCTACATCGGACGCAAGCTTTTATTGACGTCGTCTATTCGGCTTCTTTCAAACGCACAACTGACGTTTTGAGAATTCTACGGTGAACCGTACGCGCATGATTTGAACGCATGTGACATTTTCGTAATGTTACCCGTTGTCAAGTGTGTTGCTAACGCTGAGGGTAACATTACGGATTGTTAAATGCGTCTAAACCAATCAGATTTTAGTATTTAACATGAAAGTATAATAATAAAAAATGTGAAATAAATTGGTCGTCTCCTTTATTTCCCTACAATGTCTGGTCAGTGACGTCATACACGTTCTGTGTGCAGTAAGATTGATTGATTGATTGTTTGTTGTTTTACGCCCCTTTCGAGAATTTTTCACTCATACAGAGACGTCACCATATACCGGTGAAGGGCTTCAAATTTAGACCTTTACTCGGCACTTAAGGCCATTGAGCAGTGAGGGTTCTTTATCGTGCCAACGCC